CGTGTACGCGCGGTCCCTTCGCCCTCGCAGCTTCATGAGTGGTACTTTCAGCGGGGGGGGGTCACGGGGTTCTGCTCGCTGCCCGTACGTCATTCGCACTGGTGCTCGGACTGGCCAGCCTTGCGGGACGTTTGGTCACACAGCGGCCCGCTGCTTCGCCAGTCTGAGCGACGCCTGGCGTACGGAGTTTGGCGACGCGGCTGAGCTCCCCGACTGGGTGGAGCTGCTCCGGCAGAGGGTAGATATCTATGCTCTTGACTATGATGCTATCCTCACTGCCATGTATGCATTGTCTACTAGTGATGCCGGTGACTGTTCCCTGAGTGTTCCGCCCGACCCAGGCGGTGCAGCTGCTGCTCTAGGTGCTAGTGAGTCTGCTGCTCCAGGTGCTAGTGAGTCTGCTGCTCCAGGTGCTGGTGAGTCTGCTCTCTCAGGTACCACGTCTGCTCCGGCGTCGCACACTTTCACCCTTGACTCGGGTGCTTCCCGCTCCTTCTTTCGAGACCGCACCACTCTCACGCCGCTCAGTCGGCCGGTTGCACTCGACATCCCGACTCCGCGATCCTACGCGGAGGCGATAGAGGGTCCCTACTCCTCTCAGTGGCAGGCAGCCATGGACGCAGAGATGGCTTCCTGGAAGTCCACAGGCACCTACGTTGACGAGGTTCCCCCACCTGGGGCGAACATCGTCAGTGGCATGTGGATTTTCAGGGTAAAGCGGCCGCCGGGTTCTCCGCCTGTCTTCAAGGCGCGTTACGTGGCTCGAGGCTTCAGTCAGCGGCAGGGAGTTGACTACTTTCAGACCTTCTCTCCCACCCCGAAGATGACCACTCTTCGGGTTCTGCTACACATAGCCGCTCACCGTGACTACGAGCTTCACTCTCTGGACTTCAGCACAGCTTTCCTACAGGGCAGCCTGCACGAGGAGATCTGGCTGCGCCGCCCACCTGGCTTCACTGGGACGTTTCCTCCTGGCACCCAGTGGAGCCTCCGGCGGCCAGTCTACGGTCTCCGTCAGGCGCCTCGTGAGTGGCCCGACACATTGAGGACTACACTTGCGGCTCTTGGGTTTGCTCCTTCTACTGCCGACCCGTCGCTGTTTCTGCGCACTGACACTTCGCTGCCGCCGTTCTACATCCTCGTGTACGTCGACGACTTGGTCTTTGCTACAGCTGACACTGCTGGACTCGCCCACGTGAAGTCTGAGCTGCAGAAGCGACACACGTGCACAGATATGGGTGAACTGCGCAGCTACCTTGGCTTGCAGATCACCCGGGACAGAGCACGGCGCACCATTACACTGTCTCAGTCACACATGGTGCAGCAGGTCCTTCAGCGCTTCGACTTCACGTACTCCTCGCCTCAGGCCACTCCTCTATCTACTCGCCACTCGCTCTCAGCTCTGCCTTCGGATGAGTCCGTAGAGCCGAATGGCCCGTACCCAGAGCTTGTTGGCTGCCTCATGTACCTGATGACATGCACACGACCTGACCTTGCATACCCTCTTAGCATCCTGGCACGCTATGTTGCTCCTGGGAGACACCGACCAGAGCACATGGCTGCAGCGAAGAGGGTGTTGCGCTACTTGTGCAGTACGTCGGGCATGGGGCTAGTGCTTGGAGGGCAGAGTCCAGTGGTCCTCACTGGTCACGCAGACGCTTCTTGGGTTGACGACCTGGCTACTCAGCGGTCGTCACAGGGTTACACCTTCAGCCTTGGTTCCAGCTCTGTTTCGTGGCAGTCTACCCGCTCGTCATCTGTTCTCAGCTCTAGTTGTGAGGCTGAGATCTACGCAGGAGCCATGGCTGCACAGGAGTTACGCTGGCTTACCTACCTGCTGACTGACCTGGGAGAGCCGCCTCGTTCTCCTCCAGTTCTGTACATAGACAACAAGGCAATGCTGGCCTTGTGTCGGGAGCACAGACTGGAGCACAGAACGAAGCACATTGCTCTCCGCTACTTCCTTGCACGTGAGCTGCAGCAGCGTGGTCAGCTGCGCCTTGCTTACGTGGCCACTCGGGCCAACACTGCTGATATCTTCACCAAGGCACTTCCGCCTGGTGATCATCAGCGCTTCTGTACGATGCTAGGTCTTGTGCCCACTTGGCCTCACTTGCTCACTTCTTGACCTTGCTTGTACTGTGTTTTCTATATACCTGCTCTTGCTTGTTTGCCTTTATATATAATCCTGCATGTGAACTGGCCTTGTGGCCTTGACCTTGTGCTCAGATTTTGTGGTGACGTTGTGATCCACTCTGAGCTTGCTTTGCTTGACTGGTCTTTAGGTCTTTAGGTCTTCCCCACTTTGCCTATGGGGGTGTGTCAAACATATATAACATTGATTATATAGGCTGTAGTGGGTTAGACTCTAGAGAGTATAGGGTTGTTACTTGTTTCTCTCATTTTCCTTAGTGCACCATCCTCTCGAACTTCACATACAGTATTAAAGCACTAGTGTATACATGATGTGTTCCACTACATGATCTGTTCCATGTCATATTGCAGGGATTTGTTTCTCACAAGAATGTCAGACATTGCCCACAAACATAATGCACCAAGTGTACGACATGTCGTTGAGACTGCTTTAGCGAAACGCAAGGCGAATTTCCTCATTCGGTGAACTGATCGCGCTAAGGGCGTGTTCCTATGGCCACTTATTCTTATCAGAGTCTCGTCGAATCACAATGGAATTTATGTGAACCCAAATGTCAAAATGTGTTCGGCACATTTTATATGATAATTTGTGGTGCACCTGCGTGTTTCTGATCTATATGTACTTTGTTTTCTATAATGCAAACCCATTTTTGGCCTAACCTTCTCGCCATGTTCCTTGTTCTTAAGCCTAAACATAGTTTCCTAGGTGCTTAGTCAGTGACTGCACGCTCAGTACCTCCAGTGGCAGCACCCCCACGCTCAACACCTACATGGCGCCCGACAACCCACTCACGCAGATGTTGCGGCGAGAGAGTCTATTGTGGACGCGACAGAGCGACTGTCCACCCCCACGCTCAGCACCCCCAGAGTCAGCACTCCTAGGCTCAGCACCCCGAGAGCCAGCACCTCCGTTGTCAGCACTCTTGGAGCCCACACTACCAGCGCCACCACCTCCGGGTAGTACCGGAGTCCATAACGACAGGCAGCACGGGCAGCAAAGGCCGCCAAGGCGGAAAGTCAGGAGGGATCTCCAATCACGAGGAGCAACGACAGGCCGCCAAGGCGGAAAGTCAGGAGGGATCTCCAATCACGAGGAGCAACGACAGGCCGTAGTGTCGTCGGCAATAGGGTCAGCCCCCTCAGCCGGGTTAGAGGAGACTTCCAAAGGCTCAACCAAATGGGGTGATGTGGCCTGAGACACACTTGAGGGAGCACATCGCGAGGCGGGTGGGGGTCTATCTGGGGGAGACAAGAGAAGACATATGCTGGGGGAGACAGTATTAGCAAACCGACTCGTCAAAGGTGAAGTTCTAGGGAGGACAGGTTATGACGCGTGGCTGGGTGGTGAAACTGCCAGCCAGGCGCATCGGTGGGAAAGCTAAGGAAGACACAGCAAACGGGGCGAGAAGAGGGCTTGTCTGTGGTAGTATTGCGGACAAGGACCATCAAATCCAAAACGGCGATGCATCGCCAACCTCCCCCGTCCAACGCAGTGTAGGCGAGGTCTTTAACTCAGAGACACGGGGACAGAGGTTGAGATGATGCGCGGCGTATCAAACTGCAAACGACCATAAAAAAGAGGAAGAGGTCGCATGGATCATGGGGGTGCGAGCAATCTCCAAGTCCAAGCCAATGCGATGCTCAGCAATCTCATTGCGTGAACGACTAGGCGATGCCCTCCTTGCCATAACACTCCTCAGGGAGACTGGAGAATGTTCACCTCCACGGTCAGAGTGCAGACGGAGCACTGGGAGTTTCGAGTTGGAACAACGTGCTCAGCTGGTGACGAGCAGCGCGGATCCAAGGGATCAGAATAAGACGGCCGCCGCCCTTATGGTGCAAAGGAAACACCATGGTAAAGCGCATGTCGTCGACGACCAGCAAAAAGTAGCGCTCCCGGTCCAGCCTGGGGATGGGGGCGAGGCCACACACGTCCGTATGCAAGGTCTGCAAAAGTGCAGTGGGAACGAGGAGTGAGGAGCAGCGCGCTGCCGCCCCTCGACGCAGGGAGTGTAGAGCAGTGCAAGCAACGATGGAAGAGGAGGCAGGGAACTTGTAAGGTCAGAGACAAGAAGACAAGAGTGCATGTGATGCAGGCGCTACAGGGAGGGGTGACCAAGACGGTGGTGCCAGAGGAGAGACGGGTGTGTGAGTAAACGACACAGCTACCTGTGCAAATTCAGTGTGCTATCATTAAAGACCAGACTCCCGCCTCTGGGTGAACGTGGCGAGGTAATCGCCAGTCACCGAGTCCGCACAAGTCGCCACGAGCTCATCCCGAGGAGTAGTGGTGGTGACCAACTGAGTTTTGAGAATTCCCTGACTCACCAAGTTCGTAGCGAACGAGGAAGGTGGAAACCTGTGAGGGAGCCGAGGGGACCGCCAGACACGGCAGAACAGTGGTGCCACGAGAGACCACCGTACTCAACGAGGGGTCAGCCAAAGTGATTGGGACAAGAGATGTGTGGGGTGTGACCACGGTCCAGTCGCAAAAGAAGCAACAGGACGAACCAAAGTCAAGCGCGAAGGTATGCAGAGCCTCCGGAGGAATTGCACCTATGGTAGCGGACTCGTAGGCTCCTATAGTAGTAGCCACTACACCACCACAGCTAGGCACACCCGAGTAATATTCACCCTCAACACAAGTAGAAAAAGCACACATACCATGCATACCAGCAAGGGACTTATTTCAGTTAGGAGCAAATACATCCACGCCCTTTTGGAGTAATCCTAACCAGTTAGATATCTCTGTCTTCTCACCAAACTCCTTGCGGAAAACGTCCTTGAGGAGGCGAAGCAACAAGCCTCACCATGGCCCTGCCCGCCGCACGCGGGGACCCCTGCATCTAACCTAGGTGCAACGTCCTCCTACTCTGGGGCCACCTCGCTGGACCACCCATGCACGCAGCTGCGGCAGCGAGAAGGGTCTCCTGCCGATACGACCGCCGCTGCTGTCCACCCCCAGAACCTTCGCGCCCACTAGCTGTGCTCCCAGATGCAGCTCCCTGACCTCCATCCCCGTCAGTTCCACTACGACCGCCACCCAAGCCGCCTCCGCCACCCCCAGCGCCGCCACCACCCTCGCCACCCCCGCCACCCCCCACCACCCCCGCCACCCCCACCACCCCCGCCACCCCTTTCACCACCACCTCCATCGCCCTCACTACTACCACTGCCAACGTCCGCGCCACTGCCACCCCCACCACCCTTGCCCTTATGACACCCACCTCTAATGCGCCTCCCGCTAGGAACGGACGCCGCATCGGCTCCCTCAGCACCGATGAAATCACCAACAGAAGCAGATGTGACAGTTGGCAAGGGGAGAGAAGGAGCACACCCCTCAAAGAATGAGGTGCGGGGATTACCATAAGAAAGAGCTATAGCGCAGGCAGTGGTCTCAGCCTCCAAGAGCCGTTACTCAAATAAGGCTAGGGTGAGCTCGGTGGGGTCGAGAGGGAGTAAGTGGTCTCGGATGGAGCGAAAGGGAGTCAAGGAGACAGGTCACGAGGAAATAAAGAGTGATGAACATCGGGGGTGGGTTCTTCGCCAGAAACTGTGGCTTGAGAGCAGCACGATAGCGAAGATCACTGGTGTGCATGTGTATAATGAAGTCAGCGACAGTGGCGAAGTCGGACAACTCAGGAAAGAGGAGCAGAAGATGGGAGGTATATCGCTTCAATACAGCGTCATAAAGCTTTTTGGCTGTTCTCAATTGGCGAAAGTGGGTGCGCTGATCGAGTAGGAGGTGGACTACGAGCGCGGTAGTGCCGTCGCATGCTAACCTCTGAATACTAGCTACGCGATCGATTTTATACTTCTGCTGCACGTCTGCTGGTGTGGAGTGGTCAGGCATGTTCGGAGCGACAGGGGTAGGAAAGGAGCATGGAGTTGTCAAGAAAGCTAGGCAGGAATGAGAAACAGGAAAGAGGGTTTTCACTAGCAGGCAGTTGAGTAGTTATAGCAAACCCTAATTTGGGCTGTACTCGCTATAGAGTACCCCACTGCAGGCTAGACAAACATCACATTCTGACAAGAGTATGCTAAAAATAAGATAGGTCGTCCTTGGCAACGCTCAGCAAGTACAATTGAAGCCCCACGAGCCAGGGGTCATAATCGACTGGGCTATCCCCGGCATCAAACTCTAGTACAACGGAAGTCGCCATAATAAGCAGCACGAGTAGGAGCGGTTGTAGCGGCAAGGGCGGTTGCAGCGGTGGCAGAAGCTCTTGTATCGGCAATGGCGGCTGCAGCAGCGGCATTAGCTGCGGGCAGCCAGGCTGCAGCAAGGGCGGCAGTTTGTGGGCAGCGTTAGAGGCGCGCGCGGGGTAGCTGTAGCAGCAGAGGTAGCTCTTGCAGTTGCGGCAGCAGCGGCGGCTTCAGTAGCTGTAGCAGTTGCTGCAGTGACTGTAGCGGCAGCAGCAGCAGCTGTAGCGGCTGCTATAGCAACGGCTGCAATAGCTGTAGCGGCGGCTGCGATGGCTGCAGCGGCTGCTGTAGCAGCAGCAGCGGCTGCTGTAGCAGCAGCAGCGGCTGCTGCAGCAGTGGCAGGAGCTGCTATAATGGCGCCTGCTGTAATGTCTTTTGACAAAAAGTCTGATATTGTCGGCCTTGTATGAGCACCTGCCTAAGGGTACATTCCGCTCTGGACACTGTCCCAATCAGGGCTAATTTTTGGTTTTGACCAACCCTTACGATCAGTCTAGCACCTGTTAAAAAACCTGAGTTTCAGGGTTACCCGTTGTGGAAAAACTGATGCGTCAGGGTTTTTGCATGTGTTAAGAAAATTACCCTGAGGCATCAGTGTACCAATTCGCAAAACCCTTCTTCAGATGTTATTAACACAGCACACAATTACAATGGTGGCACACCGCGTTCAAGCACATGTAATGTCCAGCATAAATCTACAGTTTTGACAGTTGGCAAACCGAAATTCCAGGTTTCGGGGTCGGGTGGTTAGGGGACAGGGGGAAGGGGGGGTTTGGCTGGTACGCGCTTCTGGGTAAACCTCGATATGCGGAACGGCAACCCTGAGGCGACAGTGTTCCCTAATCTTAAAACCTGGCACATCAGGGTAAATCAAGGTCCTGAAAAAATTACCCAACAGCATCAGTGTTACTACCAAAAATCTGTCAGAATAAGAACTACATCGGAATGTGTTGCATTGACAGAATTGGGGTACATAACCTAACCCTAACTAGTTGTACCCCATATAGCCCAACCCACTACAGGCTATAATATTTGACACACCCCCATAGCCCGAGTGGGGAAGGCCAATCAACAACAAGCAACCTACGGTCACAAGACCAGTCAAAAGCAAGAGAAAGAAAACAAAGCTCAGGGTGGATCACAACGTCACCACCTAATCTGAGCACAAGCAAAGGGCCACAAGGCCAGTCCAAAAGTGTGCAAACAAATATATATAAGGTACAAGCAAGCAACAGACAAAGAGCACCCTACAGCAGTCAACTAGACCCAGTCTCAACGAGGCCTAACTGCAGACAAAACCGGCGGTGGTCACAAGGCTGGAGGGCCTTGGTGAAGATGTCTGCAGTGTTGGCCTCGGAGGCCACAAAGTCCAGACGAGCCTGTCCGCGTCTCTGCAACTCTCGAAGGAGGAAGTACCTGACGTCAATGTGCTTCACTCTGCTCTCCAGTCGCGGCTCACGACACAGGAGAATCATCGCCTTGTTGTCAGCAAACAAGGTCGGTGCAGAGCTCGGCCGCTCGCCAAGGTCAGTGAGCAAGAAGGTCAACCAGCGCAGCTCCTGTGCAGCAAGGGCTCCAGCGTAGATCTCGGCCTCTGCGGTAGAAGTCGCAACAGAGGAGGACCGAGTAGACCTCCACGAAACAGCTCCAGAACCCAGACTGAAACAGTAACCCTGTGTAGACCTCTGAGTCTCAGCGTCGTCAGCGTACGAGGAGTCACAGTGACCGGTGAGAACAACTGGCTGAGTCCCTCCAAGTACAAGCCCCATGTCTGACGTCGTGGCCAGGTACTTCGCCACCCTCTTAGCCGCCGTCCAGTGAACAGGACGGTGTCTCCCAGTCGCAACAAAGCGAGAAAGGATGCTAAGAGGGAAGGCGAGGTCCGGGCGAGTGCACGTCATCAGGTACATGAGGCAGCCCACCAGCTCTGCGTAGGGACCACTGGGCTCGAACGGCTCGTCAGGAAAAGGCCCAGTGAGTCTGTGGTCTACAGCAAGAGGAGTGGGTGTGGGAGAGGAGTGCTGAAGCCCGAACCGCTGAAGGACCTGCTGCACCATGTGTGACTGAGTCAGAGTGATGGTGCGAGCGGCTCTGTCCCTGGAGATCTGCAAGCCAAGGTAGCGGCGCAGTTCCCCAAGGTCAGTGCAGGTGTGTCTCTTCTGCAGTTCGGACTTCACCTCCGCCAGTGCAACAGTGTCGGCTGTGGCGAAGACCAAGTCGTCAACGTAGACCAGATAAAGAAAGGTGTGCGCCCACGACGAACAAACAGCGACGGGTCGGCGGAGGACGGCTGAAAACCAAGGTCGGAAAGAGTAGAACGAAGAGTGTCGTGCCACTCGCGGGGTGCCTGGCGGAGACCGTAGACCGGTCGTCTGAGGCTCCACTGGGTCCCAGGCGGGAAGGTGCCAGTGAAGCCCGGAGGACGACGCAGCCAGATCTCCTTGTCATGATTTACATTTTATATAAATCTATAAGTGCCTGTAGCTGTAGCTGTAGTTTGTTATACTTTCTGTTGGTGGTGCACCCCCAACTCTTGCCTATATCATTGTACCCTTTCTCTTTATTGAACCTCTTTCCTCTCGCTACTCCCAACACCCTCACCTAGCTTCCTAGGTTCTAACGCTATCACGACATGGTATTAAGAGCTAGGTCGTCCTAAGACCTATTTTTTTTTCCCCATGGGCCCACCACGTATCCCCCCGCTCAAGGCGCTGGTCACGGCCCCCGTCGCGGCCGTAGTTACGACGGTTGCAACTGTCGCGACTGTCGAAACGGTCTCGGCGGCGAGCTGCGCCAGAGCGTTTGCGGCCTCGGTTGCGACCGATGCGGATTCGTCGCACCCTCGTCCGGCCCCCCTAACCTTTCCCCCCCTGCCGCGGCCCTGCACGTCGGCAGCGTCGGTCGCTGTGAGGGGGAGGAAGGGGGGAAGGGTGTGGCGGCCAGAAGGCTGCAGTAACCGCCAGCGCCCTGCCCCTGCTCGACCGTCCCTCCCTATTCTCCGCCGCATCTGCGCACCCGTCGCACGCCCTGCCGCGGAAACTGCTGTTTGGGGAGACGGCGGGGGTGGATGGCGTGCGGGATCTGCAGCAGTGCCCGCGCCGCTCCTGCCCTACGCCGCTGGGCCGTGCGTCCTGCTGTGGGGGGGAGGGTGAAGGGGTGGCGGGAGGAACTCTGCAGCGCCAGCCGCTGCCCATCTCCCTTCTTTCTCCCTGCAGCGCCAGTCGCTGTGGGGGGGGGGGGGTGTTGAGGGGGTGGTGGGAGCAATGGCTTCAGCACCAGCCGCAGCCACCTCCTCATTACTCCTCCTCTCTCCTGTTTTCTATCGGCTGTTCCTCCTCTGTCCTGCCCGTCGTGCATCTGCAATGGCTGCTTGGTGCTAACGTGGAACCTGCAGCTGCCCCATCTGCCCCCATCGTGTAATTGCTCCTGCTGCCTGTTGCTGGTGGTGCGGCAGGTGCTGCCGTTGAAGCCCTGCTTGTGCCGCCGCTCGTTGCCGCCGCACACATCTGCTCTCCAGGCGACCTGCCATCACCTGCACACGCCATGGCTGCATTTACCGTGGCTGTGCATCTTCCGCACCTGCATCTACCGCTACTGCACCTGCTGCCTTGCACCTGCGTGGTGTACCCCTTCAGGGGGTGTGACTTGCTACTGCTATGCGCTGCAGGCACTTAGGGGGTGTGTCATGATTTACATTTTATATAAATCTATAAGTGCCTGTAGCTGTAGCTGTAGTTTGTTATACTTTCTGTTGGTGGTGCACCCCCAACTCTTGCCTATATCATTGTACCCTTTCTCTTTATTGAACCTCTTTCCTCTCGCTACTCCCAACACCCTCACCTAGCTTCCTAGGTTCTAACGCTATCACGACACTCCTCGTGTAGGCGGCCCTGCAGGAACGCTGTGGAGAAGTCGAGGGAGTGTAGCTCGTAGTCTCTCTGCGCCGCTACGTGAAGCAACACCCGAAGAGTGGTCATCTTCGGGGTGGACGCAAAGGTCTGAAAGAAGTCAACCCCCTCGCGCTGACTAAACCCTCTAGCCACGTAACGTGCCTTGA